TATGAGTTTTAAGTAGTTAGAGCGTTGTAAATACTCACGCTCGCCTCCCTCACAACAGAGCGCATATGAGGTAAATGACGACAGTAATAACCGGTTATGGTTATTACTGAACCAATATCGAATTGTCTGCATCTGCATCGCGGTGCACCGAAGAAACTATTAATTTTGACACCCCTAACCATTATTAATCAGAAATCTAGTGTACATAGTTTTACATTAGGAAAAGCAGTATTGAATTTAATAACAGTCGGCAAGTACCAAAGAACAGATGTAACACATTGATCAAATGTAGTTTTCAGTCACGCTCATGGAAGTCATATTCAACTTGTTTAGTTTTGCCTTCACTCATTTTTGATTTCCGTCTTCAACACAGGATTTATTTACAACACATTTTTAAACATAATAGTTTAACTAACTCGTTTCTAATATCTACTGTTTTATCTTCACATGCAGTCAGTGCAGAACATTTTACTAGTTATTCGGCAAGACATTTGTATTCAGACAAAGTCCCTTTAAGTATTTTATAGTTTTTTATTAAGATTAAAGTGTAATTTAGACTTAATCAGTTAACAACAAAAGTTGAAATAATTAGAAATAATTGTAACTGATTTGTTTTGTATATCAAAAATATACAGTACATATTTCTTAAGGAGGCTAATAATACTGACCTTAATTTTTTTTTAAGAAAAAAATGCTTTTATTCAAGAAATAAACAATTAGAAATACAACTTATTATGACTCCAGAATAATTATGTTTTAGGAAACACTGTGAAAAATTTCAGAAACATTATTTTAAATGAATGGGAGGGCAAAATAAATTAACTTCAACTGTAGGCCTGTCTGTTTACAGGTGCAACAATGTGCCTTGATGTACTTGAATGTTAGAAATGTGTTATCCTACACCAGTACAAAGTTACTTTACAAATAAATAAACAAGTAAGATTATTTTGAGTTTAAGTTACTTAATTATCTTATTTATGAAGACTGCAGAGTAATGCATGAAAAAAATGATTTTTTATTTTGTGATACGTGTTAAAATGTGCTCCCAAAAGTATGTGGCCCCTGCCTGTCCCGCCCATACTAGTAAGCTAATGTAATTTCATAATGCAAATCTTAAATTTATGCTAACCAACAAATGATCAAAGGAAATATATTAATGTAATTCAAATATATAAAATATGAATTGAGGTTTACTTTAAACTTAAATTATATTGTTCTATTAAAATTATTTTTTAAAAGATGTTGTCAAATAAAAGATTTTTCTAGAGTCATATACTGTAATTTTGAGGCTAAAAAGTATCGTTCAGGCACTGTATTGGCATCGGTATTGTTTTAAAAGTATCGATTTAGCACTGGTATCGAAAAAACCCAAATGATAGCCAACCCTACTGTCTATGCATATCTATTGACCTTATTCTTCAATGTGGAAGTGCGTGCGTTTTCGCTATTATTTTAGAACTTCAGATTCAGTTATCTATGGGAGAAATGACTAGGAATAATAAACCGCAGAAAATGGTCAAACAACTTGCTCTACAAAAAAGTGTGTCTACAGCCGCGTTTCCACTATCGCGCCTAAAGCGAGCGAGCCAGGGCGAGCCAAGGCCAGTGGCGTTTCCACTGTCACTTCCGGGGCCTAATCGGGCCAAAGTGGGGCTTTCTTGGGGCCAGCGGCCGGCCTTTTTCGGCCCGCCGAATACCTTGGGCCAAAGAGGGCCAGCCGGGGCTTCGGGGCGGAGTGAAAGGAGAGGCGGGCACAGTTTTTCGATCGCACAGGAGTACATGCGCCAAACAAATAAATAAATAAATAAATAAATAAGAGAAAGAAAACATCGGGAACAAATTATAGGCTGGGGTCTTTTTTGCATATGATCGCCCTTATGTTCCTCTTTTAAATGTAAGGTTGTTGCATAAAATGATAGTTTTAATAAGTCACTTTTCTTTGCTGCATCTCTTTGATGTTTCAATAACGCATACTAATCTTTACACCATATTAAAGACACAGCAGACAGTAAAGGATTTCAAGAGGTTTTGTCAAGTTTAATAAGTGTTTTTGCGCGTTTAGATGACTGTGTATATGTGTGAGACCAGGGAAAAGAGCGCTCCATTCATAGCTCTGTTGATGCCGCGAACGGCTTTTTTCTTTTCTTTTCATTGTTTTAATTTATTTTGGAAATAATACACTATATGAATACAACAGAAAGACATTAAACTTTACAAATTTCATGTCCGCTTTTGTAGACTCAAAACAATAGTGTCATATCTAGATAAAATAGCTAAGCTATATTTAAATAATTTAAAGAATTACAAATATCAGATAGGCCTATAATAAAATCACATTAAATAAATAAACCAATATAAAACTAACAAAAGCTATAGCTATAACAATTAGGTACTATATCGAACTGTGTCAAATTTATATTAAACTTTCATTTTTCAAAAGCCTCTTTGAAAAAAAGATTTTCTAAAAAATAAATAAATAAATAAACACCGGAAAATGTTTTAAATATTATTTATTAAGTATTTGGATACGATGATATTAATCAAATCATGCAAACAGAGCATTTTCGGGGTGAGTGAACGCAGAAACTAGGCGACCTTTTTTTCTGTCTTCCAGCTGCGCAGCACTTTTTTGACGGGGAAAACTGCAAGTTCAAAATGTGTTCTGTGTCCTCAAACAAGTGTGTATGTTTTTATATAACGTGGTAAAATTAAAAAAGGAAATTTAAAATACATAAAGAGCTTTATTAGTGCATTGCTGCTGAGTGCAATGAAATATAGGCAATATTTTATAAAGTGCTGCTCTTATGTGCTGAAACACTGAACACTTTCCTTTACTTAAGATATAATAAGCAACATCTTTAAATAAAGGGAATCACCTATTAAGTGTCATAAAACCTATAGGGAAAAATAATCATGTTTCAGTTCTCTCCGGAGCATTTGGGATGAATGTTGGACAGCGTCTGTCTAGAGGATGTTATAAAATGCATTTTATATCGAGTTATTAACGGATAATTTCATATATGTGGTGTTAAATTATGGATGTGTGCGCTCCCTGCACTGGGTCCCTCCGTTGGTGGCAAGACCACTGGATTTCGATGCCAGTCGGTCGGCAAGTAAATGAATATGATAAATAAAAACACACAGGCATGTGCGTATAGACATGCGTTGTACTACTGTACAGTAACGTGTCATTTGTTTGTTTTGGTTGTCCTATTTTAATAGTTTTGTGATGATGTGATGGTGTGCTTTATCTGCATGATTCTCGCTGAAGTGGGCGTTTGAGTGACGTTCGATTCGGGGGATGTTCTGGGGGCGGGGTTTGCTGACGCGCTGCAAGCTACTAGCCCCACAGTGGAAACGCGACATGATTTCGGCCTCACTGCTCAACCTCCCGTGCGATTAGAATAATATAAAAAGAAAATGTCAGTTTGCATCATCAAGCAAGCAGCATAACAAGTTATTAACGTCTAAAAATGAATGGAAGTGAACGAGACTAAAAGTCTCAAGCCAAAAAGATTCAAAAGGCTGTGCCCGCTCACACGCAAACAATAAGGTGAACAGTCTTTGGGAAAAGTCATGTAGTGCATTCCAGCCTTTAGCGGAATTTAGGCTGTATGCAGCAAGGTAGCTTAATAGGTTTGTGAAGGGACCTAACACAAACATCATCATCATCATCATAACCTAATTAACAACATCAAGGGTTGCTAATCAGGTATTTCAGTAAACTCTTTCAATTAGTATAAAGATCCAAATGTAGCTTTCTGACAAAGTACATGACTGCTCCCAACGCATGTGTCATAAGAATCACTTAAAAGCCCTATTTGATCTCACCAAGACAAGCCCACATCTACACCAAACACATTACATTTAGGGCTGGGTGATATGACAAAAATCTCATCTCGCTATACAAGTCATTTCATATCATAATAACTATATATATATAAAATGTAAATTCAGCCAATTAATATTTTGTATATGTATTGACTACAGGTATAGGACTATTTCTTTTTCTCAGAAATCTACTCTTTTATACGACCGTTAAAACTGGCTGTGATTTCAATGGTAAAAAACTAAAAATGCTACAGTAAAAATCCATAACCTGGTTAATAGTATGCTTCCTTAATATATAGGGCGAATAACGATAAATTGACTTTCTTGTAATTCCCTGCATGGCACGTCACTTTTTATGCGTTTTGTCGACATTGATATGAATCTTTTTAGTTGTTTCTCCATCAGTTATGTACATTAGAGATTTATGTTACATCTAATGTTGATAAAAAATGTTTATTTCATGACTTTATTTTATGCGTGTTACCATACTGGTGTTTAGTAGCTGTGTGAATGACATTGACCACCTTCTATAATCTGATACACTTTTCTGCTTGTTCGAAAAGTTGTTTGTGATGAGCATTGGTTCATTATGCAACTTTCTCATCACCACCTGTATTTGGCTGTGTTAAAGTGTTTATCTGTGTAACAAAAGATGTGTAGATGTTGGTAATTCAAAATACAGACATATTACATGTAAGGGACTATTTTACTGTAAAAACGACAAATTACTTTTACAATTTGTACCGTATTGTTAACGGTGGAGTACTGCCTTTTTTACAGTAAATTTTACATACTTACTTTTTACAGTGTGTGATAATTGTTCTCACTAATAAATACTAAGGACTGTGATAAAAACATATGAAACATTTATCAAACATTAATGATTGCAGATCAAACGTAAAAATGACATGTATTGCTAAATCGAAAGCAAAACGTTAACGTCGCACTTTTAGGATTCAACTTTCTCACAATGCTGTTATTTCTTGTTTCTGTCTGAATCCCCCCAATAGTGTGCAATATTGCTCCCATAACAGTTATGAAAAAGTATTACTGTAAACAATGTATTTTGTAATACCACAAAATAAATGATAGAGCATAACATGAAACGATAGACTTTTTCTACAACATATAGCACAACCCTAGAAGTAAGGAAAGGAGACAGCCTTTACCTTGGCACCCACATCCTTCAGACCCTGGTGCATGTCTCGCAGGACATCTTTGGGCTGGCGTGGTATTCCATTGTGCTCCACCTCTCGGAGCTTGCGATGATAATGCTCCAGCTTCCTCTGCAGCTGCTGGATGGTCTGCGCAGACTTCTGGTTCTTCTTCTCGAACACCTGCTTGATGCGAGTGCTCTGCTGTTTGTCTGCGTTGTTTGCCAGCTTCAAGTACTCGGCTACATTGTCGTCTCTTGCTGTTTGTTCGATTTTGATCTGCTCTGTGAGTTTAAGAATCTTCTGCTGTAGCTGAGCAATGGCCTGCTTTGTGCGCTGAGGATCCAGGGTGCCATCCACTGAATCCACACCGTACTGACCGCCATCTGAGCATGTAGACAGAGCGTTGGGAGACACTGCAGGGCCCGACACCTCCAAACGATCTTGCTGCAAAGGGAAGAGTAAGATTTTGTAGTCACAATATCATGTGTTATACAAAATGACACACTATTCAGGATAATGCTGAAAGAATCCCTGCAGGCACACAATATCATAAGACGTTATTAATATTAGGTTAGATTAAGGTCATGCGTCAGCTGACCAAAATTCAATGTCCAGCAAGCATCTAAGTACACTGTTATTTTAACCTTCAATAACGACGTTGATATTTGGTTGATTTTAGGTTGTGTTAGAAAGTGAGTCAATTGATGACAAATACTAACATTTATTCGTCAGGTATGACAACCAAAATCCAATGTCTGGTAGATGTCATAGAGGTAATGTCCACTAAGGCTGGGCGATTAATCGAAAAGTGAGAACCTATAATCAATCTAATTTTTCCAGGTACATTTTTTCAATTACGTTCCCCTACCGCATGTGGAGTCACATGACGCTGCCCTTTTCAGACTAATTTATACTTATTATTTTATGATTTATACTTATTATATTATTCTGATACTAAACTTCTGCCAAGTGCATGCGTTCGGTCTGGCGTAGCTTTTATATACCCGTGCACCTCTCAAAAAAATTTAACGACACGTCACAACGACGCACAGCTCAAGCTTTGTGATTGGTCAGTTTGGTAGCAGTGGCAAGAGTGGGTGGTTTAAATTAGTTTTTTTATATGTTTTAATGTGTGTTTTAATAGTTGTTCAGCGCTGATGTTCAAAAACTAATTATAGATAATAGATAGAGTGTGTTTACTTCAATTGTTTTAAAATCAACCAAACAAAAATTCAACATTCAAAAATCTGTATTGACTGTAACTTGTCAGTAAATAATGAGGGCAAAAACATACAATAAATAAATAAAATAATCATTCATTAATTATAATAGAGTTAAAATGTTCAATTAATCAAGATTTTGATGTTAGGTCAAATCGCCCAGCCCTAACGTCCATACAATGTCAAGCCGTATTATCATTAGACATTGATATTTGGTTGATTTTAAGTCGGACATTGTGCATTGAAGTCAGCTTGACGTTGGGTTCTAACGTCAATCCAATTTGTATTTCTTAACCAAATTCAACATCCCCCAACGTTATGGTAAAATGTCAATCTGATGTCATGTTGATGTCCTGTGCCTGCTGGGAATGCTGTGCTGTAATACAAACTATTTGTGCATAGCCAGACCTATATAGTCTAGGCCACAAAATATTTCATAATCAATCTATGACAACAGTGCAGTTTTTAATTCTCTTATCTTTTGATTTGATAACAGTGAGCTATTAAGCTTTCCTAAACACCAAAAGGTTCCTACAAAATGCTTTCTTTTCTTTCATTTTCTAAACACTGTAGATTTCCGTGGCTGTTTTTTTTATTTTTTTTTAAAGAGCGCAACACATATTTATACATTGATATATTAATATTAATATATTATATTTCGAGAAACATTTATAACATTTTGGGGCAGTAAAGTTCTATTTTCTACACGCGTTTCAAAAACACAGTTTTCTTAAAATAAAACAGCATCTTTAGATATAATTTTTTGCTGGAGATACTGTTGTCCTAAAAGTAAAAAAAACTTTACACATACTTAACGAATGCTATAGCAGAAGATTTTGATGGATTTAAAACCTTGACTTTTGCAAACAGCGATATACCTAGTGATGAAGCTTATTTTCAGAGAATTGACATAAGCAGCAAAACAATTACTTTTACAGTTATAATAAAAAGTTTTGCTTTATTGCTGTATTGTATATACAGAACAAAAAGTAAAACATTACAATAAGGTCGCTCATCATTAAAAAATCAACAGTGAGAAAGAAGTTAATATTTCTTACAGTTACTGCGTTAATATCAGTAAAAGTAATACAAAGAAATTTAGTTAGTTATTAAATCATTAGTTATAAAATCCATTTAATAAAAAGATTACAACTTTTAAAACTTTTTTGAAGTTTTTAGCGTAAGTTTAGTTAAATAATCTTATGTTAACTATTGGAGCCTTATTGTGGTGTTAATGTACAACAGCTCTATAAATAATCAATAGAATTTTCAATCAATATTTTAGCACTGAGCAGGCCCATTTAACATGAGAAAATGTTAATGTTTGTACAATTCAACTAACCAATTACACACCACCGCAAATACAATATTAAAACACCACTGCAAATACAATATTAATAATCCTAAAAGGTAAAAAAACAATCTAATTATTCATGATTTTTTAATTGCCACATCAATATCAATACCACCATCACAATATCTTGAATTATAGAACATCGGCTTATGCCTAACCTTAATATAAAGCTGCTTACTGGTAATAACCCAAGTTATCTAAATAAATTATTTTAATGTACAAGAGTGACTCTGTTCCAAAAGAACCAATTATGCACTTAATGATAAAATTATGCACTAAACTGTACTGCACTCTGATGATGACCAAGTCAGATATCAGTCACAAATACATTTTTAAAAAGTAAGACTCTGAACTACATTCTTTAACAAGAATAAAACCATTACCATTAATGTCGGTGCACTTTCAGTACGTTCCATTTTGAAAGACGTGCCACGTTTAAACTACTGTATGTGAGTGACTACACTAGTCTCAGGTGACGTTAACAGTTTGGACCTCTGTACTATGACATAGCCCTCAAAATTCTGAGATAATGCAGGGCATTAACTGATAAAGAATGGCACATTGCACCTCATCATTAATTAAAACTTTTTTAAAAAGTTACCAATATTAAAGAAAAATAAATGAAGTTTCTTCTTTTGAATGTGTATTTAAATAACCAAAGAATTTAATCAATACACTTTGATTGTGTGAATTCTTTAGTGCAACCTTGCAAAAAACTGAACTCTGAACACCTATTGACAGCCAAGTCGAAACCAGATTATCAGTGATATGGCCTTCACTGATCTTAGATAAACAGCTGTGGACAATCCAAGCATCCATCAGAGTCTTTATAAAACTGACTAAGAGAGCCAGCAGCATTGTTTGATCATGATTTACAAATGATTCATTTGCCAATAAGATCAGATGTTTACTGCCAATGAGGAGTCCCCCCCATTGCAACACAATATACAAAACATGGATAGATTTCCGGTTATGTAGCCACAGGAAAACCTTGGTAAACTGATCATGTGGTTGACAGGTCATTTGATAAGGTCCAGATGATATCAGTTTGAGATGTTCCAGCTGACTTGCAAATGCCTTTTTCACACCTAACTGGTCAAAAGAGGATTTTCTGCTCGTTTATCCAGGAATCAGTTCTGTTTGATTAACAAAAGTGTTAAAGCCTCTTACGGAGCTAAGCTAACTCTGTACGTTGGCCTCTAGTTTCACTACCAACATCGTAAGCTGTGAAACTACACTGTAATTGCATTTAGAGGCTAGCATATGGGGAAAAACACTATTATATATATATATATATATATATATATATATATATATATATATATATATATATATATATATATATATACAATTTTTTATATATATATATAAATAAAACATTTAAAAGTTAAATAATTAAATATTAATATATATATATATATATATATATATTTTTTTTTTTTTTTTTATTTTTTTTTTCTGGAATTTTGTCTATAGATGCATCCTGAAATAAATGTGGAGCTTATGTTTGGAAACTCTTATGAGAGAGAGAACTTTCTCGATGGTGCCACTTAGTTCTTCAACAACAGGTGAGATGAAGCACTTTGGCAGTCACCCAGACAATTTAGTGTGTCTGGTGAAAAATGCTTAGCTGTTAAAAAGGCATGCTTAAAAGCATAGTACTGTGAACTGTGAGTATAATGACCCCCTAGAGACTTAATCCAGTAGTCTTGGTCAACTTTTTTCCCGGTAAATAAATTCTGATTGCTATTTTGAGTGAGCAGTAGCAAAAAATTAACTGGTTTTTCAACAATCTGAACTGCAGTTCTAAATAAAGTTGCTGCACCTGTCCTGCTAGAGCAAACTTAACCTTGACTGTATCCTTGAGGACAAATGAAAGCAAACAGCTATCCTGATCCTACATCCTGGTTGGAAAGAGGGAGGAAAGCATTGAATTTGACATAATGCTCAATGCTGACTGCAGAAGTGCTCTGAACTGAAGTGCATCCAAAGACCTGGCTAAATATAGCAAGGCTTAGAGAACATAGTGACCTGCTACACAAGCTTCCTGACCTGTGAACGCTGTCAACTCATCCATCCATCCTGGAGGTTTCTTTCAGACACACGCAGCAGGCAACAGATTGCCATCTGCACAGATTGCTGTTCAATTCAAATCTGTCTTCCCATTACTTTCACACAAGCTACTATCACCTTTTAATAAACACTGTTCACATCCCTCTGGCAAAATGATTACAAGTACATGAAAACCATGATGGGCCAAATGTACTCTTGTAATTGTACAATTCCTCATTTGAAACATATTAAAAATTAATGCATCTATTACTACATTTTATATAATATTGGTTTCCTTATTTTGCTGACAAATTATTTTTAGACTAAAGAAATAATACAGAAAGGTTTGCGATGTTTAACCTGTTGTTAATGAAAAACGTATGAACAGTCATTATAATACAAGTCATTTAATCTAATGGATAAATGTTAAGAAGTTGACAAAGAAATACCAAAGGTCAGAACACATAATACTAAAGTGTAAAATAACTAGGCATGTTTCAATAGCATTTTTCCTTTTCCGATATTGACTCTGATACCTGAGCTCATGGTATCAGCGATAACGAGTGCTGAATCGAAACCCGAGTGTGTATCTGCAGAAATAATTGTGTATACTACTAGCCCTGTAGAAAATGACAGAATAATTTACGTTGTGCTTCACACTTATCCATTAAAAAAAACAAATACAACTAGTTTTATTATCAGACATTCATTCACCAGTAAAAAAATTGACTGTACAAGCTCAGCCACAAATCAAACACTATACACTGAAAAAAAAACTGTATTTTTACAGTATAACTTAGTATAAAATACTTGGTAAAAAAGTCTGCATAAATTAAAGAAATATAAAGCAAAAAATAAACTCTTTGAAACTTAAAATTCAGTATTGTTAAAAAAAATTAAATAGTGCATTAGCAAAGCTAGCGGACATGTCTCATTTAAAAATATGGTATCCGATTAGTTTGTGTTTTCAAATACTTGCCAACACCGATGCTAGAATTTTTGCAGTATCTGCAAGTATTTCCAATAGTAGTATATATATATATATAATAATAATATATATAATACGGTATGGGAACTAGGGGTGTCAAGATGAATTGTTTCCTTGGTGCACCACGATGCAGACGCGAACAATTCAGAATCAGTTCAGTAATAATCATAGCCGATTATTATGTACTGATGTCATTTATCACAAATGTGTTATATGGCGGTAGCTTACTATGGTGAAGGATGAGACCGTGAGTAATTAAAACGCTCTAACTACTTAAAAAGCAGATAACTGCACAATTCAGTCCTTGTGAGTTTGCTGGACAGCCTTTCACTGACAGGCAAGTACATCAGATCCTACATAGGAAAAAATGAAAGCTGTTAACCCTCTCTCTCTCTGCCTCACTCTCTGTGGCGCCTTTGAACTGCTGGCGTATTTGTGAGGTAATGTTTGATCTACTTTCTCGGCTGTTACAACTATAACGTTACTTGTGGATCCAGACACAGTTGATCATGTAGTTCTGTGCATGTACTTGAGTTTTATTTCATACATTCAAAAATAGTGTGTTTCTTTGAGCAGGTAAAACTAAAGGTACAGTACATATATCTGACTGCTTGTTTTAATACAAGAATTATTGTGTTGCCAAGTAAAATATCAAATTGTTAATGTAAAGGGTTAATGCACCGTGATGCACCAAGATATCAAATTGAATCAAATCGACAGCATGATAATCGTAACGAACCGTGAGACCAGTGTAGGTCCACAACTCTAATCGGAACAACCCTAAAAAGTACGGCAACAGAATATAATAATATATAGCTAAATGAAAAGCTTTCTAGTGTCCAACAACCTAGATTTTGATCTAGATTTTTTTAGATTTTAGATTTTTTTTTCCAAACTTCTTTATTACTGAAACCGTAGATGATAATGGCTGGCAATGACAATCAGTGATCGTGGTAGACTTGATGTGTGAAGTACACTATATGACACTCACCCGATCAGCCTCCTCGGTGGAGTGGTACCCTGAGGTCAGCAACATGTCCACCAAAGCTGGGCTGCTGGGTGTATCGGTGGTAGAAGAGGAGCGTGGCCGTCCTGCCTGCAGCAATGGGTCCTGGGTACTGCGCCTGTGGATCTGAGGACTGCCTTTTTGGGGGGCCTCCCCTACCCCCCCTGCCTTGCTGCGGCGGCTCTGCAGGCTGGTCCCTCTCTTCATCATGGGGGGGCCTCGAATCTGCTGCAGCACGCGACTCAAAGCTGCAGGGGGGGCGGAAGTGTGAGGGTCAGAGTTAGGGGCGACCGTGATGCCTTGCGCTTCCCCCAACTCTGGCCCCACTTCTGGAGGTTCAAGGATGGGGCCTGTGGAAGAAGAGGTGTAGTCGTGTGGCGAGACGGATGAACGCCTGCGCTGGGGTTGGAAGAAGTGCTTCAGGCCATGGCCCAGCGCGCCCATGTTCTCCAAAGCATTGTGGGTAATTTTGGACAGGCCGTGATCAGGCTCGGAAGCCCTCCTGCTCACCTCCCGCTCTGCTCGACCCCCAGAGTCTGGCTCCTCCGCCCCAGGCTGCTCGCTACCACCCTGGTCCATCAGGAGGCGCCAGTCTCACTCAGAGGGTCAGCACAGGGGTCTAGCTAAGCCCCGCCTCCACCAGCCCCCTGATAGGCTGTTTCAAAAGCCAGGAAGCAGAGGGTGGCAGCAGTCAGGTGGACTCTGAGAGCGTACATGCATCTGTGGTTTGGCGCAAAGTCATGCTCGTCTACCACAGAAGGAAAATAAAATGGATTATGTCATGCAGCTGTGAGCGATGGAAAACAAGCTACAACTACATCACAAAAGCAGCACATTGGATGGCTCAGAGGCAAGAAGATGCAGCTGACTTTTTTTTTTAGCCCTTTGTAGATGGATTGCATTGCCATTCGTGATCATGTCTCGCCAATATATTAATGAGAGTGAAGTCATGGATTAAATAAGCTACACCTCAGAGGTTCTGAGCCAACCAACTAAAACTACATTAGCAATATCACTACTGACAGGTACTAGAAATCTACAGCCATGGGTTTTGCCAAGCAAATGAGGTATGACAGCACTACAAAAAGCAAACAATGAAGATGCTAATTTCTGAAATGCCTGAAGGGTCTTTGGGTCAACTGTTATGAAAACACTTCTGGTGCAACAGATTTAATTGCACAATTTCAGACCCTTTTTTGTAAATCATTGCAGAAATTCCTCAAATAATCCCTATAAGCTCCCCTGTGGATAAGGTCAAAAGCATGTATGCAAAATAGGGCTACATGATTTGATGGGAACAAAAATCAATTTCATATTTTGTAGGATGTTTTTAAGACTAATATTATCATCTTAATATGACTTTTTTTAAATATCACACCACCAGACCTTCTCATTAAAAGGCATAGTTCACCTGAAAAAATCTGTCATCATTTACTTCCCCTTCATTTGTTCCAAACTAGTTGAAATGTTTTAATGTATAACATATCTTGAAAATAAAATATATTAAAGTATGTCGGAGATCTGTCACCAATGACTTGCATAGTATTTGTTTTTCCTACTATGGATGTCAATGGCTACCATATCTTACCACATACCGGGCTCAACAATAAGGACTGCCCGATGGCCAGGGGCCAGCGTGCAAGCTGTTCAGGACAGTAGACTTAGTAGTAGTTTTACTGGTCGGACTGGGCCAGTGCTGCAATGTCACTAAAGTTTAATTTGGCAGTGACTGTTTGTCAATTGTGTGCAAATAGGGTGTTTTCTCACCTAGTCGTTTGTCCAGTTAACGCGGTTCTTTGCATATGTGAATCCCGTAATTGCTTTCAGATTCGCAATCCATGATCCTGTCTGAGGTCGCCTGAATGAGTTGGTCTCTGCTCGATTGAAATGAACTCTAAAGCAGATCGATTGTAGTGAGAAAGCAAAATGATACAACTAACTAACTAGGAAATTGACAGAAATCACCCTCTGATCATGTTTCCATATTTTAATCTTATGATATTTTGCATTAGGCCTATTGTTTTGTTAATTTCTGCCCTGACACCTCTAGAAAAAGATCGACATTGATGTGCTACATGATCAGACAGCAGTCTCTGTTATTTCTGTCTATGATTTAAACCTATATGCATAATTCAAGCCAAAGTTTTCTTTATTAGATTGAATAATTTAATAGATAGATTTTTACAAAACTTGACAACTGAAATGAGGCTATGTATGAGGAAGTCTTACCTCTCTGATTTATAATTGGTGACGATGTCTGTGGGTGCACAGTGTTCAAGTGCATATTTTTGATTATTAAGTTATATATATATAATTATTAAATTATATATAAATTATAATTTATATATATATATATATATATATATATATATATATATATATATATATATATATATATATATATTATTTTTGTTTTGTTTTTTCAAATTTAGTTACAATCTCAACTGTATTTTTTTAAATTGTCAGTAGTGTTAAGGAAAAGTTATGCTGAATAAAAAGTTTATGTATACAACTATGTTTGGCTTTTGACACATTTAAAACATGTGTAAGAAATAGCTATTAACTTCTTTTTTTTTTTTTTGGAGGGGCCAGTGACATTTTTGGCAGGGCAAGTAAAACTCTGAGGCCAGTAGAAAAAAATCATAAGCACTGAACCCTGACTAGAGCTGCAAAAAGATCGCAATCTCGATTTAACCCCTAGACAATCTTAATCTAGCATTTCTACGATTCTGACAATCATATTTTCAAGTTCAGGAGTGGATTAAAGGTGGCCGCACAAGTATTCTCATTGCTTTACATACATTTTTCAGCAACGTGGACACCTCCAAATGGTGTTGAAAGAATCACATGCTGTATTTATAAGATATAATTCACCCCAAAAATGTCATTTCTGTCTTCATGTAATGTATTTGCAACCGTAAAATCACATGTGATGTGAGCTGTTACCACAGAGAGGGCTGGCGGGTGCGCGCCTGTGAATGAAGTCTACTTAAGTGAACAGATCCAGCATAGGCTGTGAATAACAGGTAATAAAGTTGTAAATAACATTCTGTTTATGGCAAAGAGTGATAGTTTGGGAACCGCGCGGGAGGTGAACTGCTTTTAGCAGTGAAAATAAAACCGAAAGCGCACAGTGTTGCCAGATGTAGCTGACTGATTCCAGCCCAAAAAGTATCCAAAACCCGCTGAAATACAAAAATACCCACCCAGTCTTCTGTATTCACGAAAATCCCGTCAGTGACAGATTTTAAGCCGAAAATTACAGATTGTTAGCATATGTCTCAAACACAATAATTCAACATCAGAATTATCATCAGCATTAATGACCAGGACAAATCTAAAGTCTGTTCAAGTCCACCATTCCAATTCTATACAAAATTTTGCGTTTTAACCAACAGTACAGCTACACAAAGCCTATTGCTGTTTTGCCACACGTTTGAGAAATAACAATAATAATAGCACACTCATATTAACCTTTATTTTACATCTATAGAATCGTGAAAAAATTGTGATCTTTATTTAAGCCCATAAAAAATATGATAATAATAAATTTTAAAAGAATACAAAATTTTTGTAATTCTCATTTTAGCCAGAATGGTGCAGCTCTGACTCTGCCATATTTTTTTTCCGTTCAACAGACCACAAAAATTAACTCAAAGGTGAGTAATTGATGGCAGAATTTTCTTGTGTGGGTGAATTATACCTTTTTTTGAAGATTTTTTTTATTGTGTAGATATGTATGGCACATTTTGTCCCCAAATGCAACTTACCTGTTAACATACCCTAACATGCAACTTGAACTTAACAGCAAACACTGTAAGATATTGAGCTGTTCACTTGTCATATCACAGTGCCATAATGTGCTTTGAAACATTCATCAAAATCTCAAGCTTATTTTAAATAATCGTGCAGCCCTAACTCAAAGTTAAGGTGTGAATGTATGAAGTGATGAGTTATAGGTTTGGCGTTGTTAGGGCCTACTCACACTATGCTATCTGAACCGTGCCCAGGCCCGTTTCCCAGATCGTTTGAGAAGTATTAGTGTGCTTAATCGGTTCCCTTGGCCGGCCCTGGCCCGGTTGGAAGAGGTGTGCCTGAGTCTGAGAGCGGTTCACTTGGGCTTTAGCGCGGTTGTGTAACGCTTGAGTGCAAAACGCGCCTTAGCCAGAAACTGAAAGCGAGACGTGACTTTTATGGGACTGTTTAATATGGATTAATTCATCATTCTCACTGTTCAATGAACGCAAACTGTCGTAGTTTATTAAAGACGCAGACTCCTCACTGCACGCCAGCTGCGCACCTTCAGCAAACATTCTAATTCCTGCAGCACGAGAACTTTATGACTCTTTATGAGCATCAAAAGTGGCTGATCTGTCAGGCGAAATATTTGACTGTGTTTCACGGCATCCCAATTGACTAAGCACTATAACTAAAGAAATCTCCACTGTGCTGAGTGAGAGCACTTACTGAACAGCGCAGCATCGATGATGTAAGCTCGCCCAGGCCCAAATGTAATGCGAGTGCAGGCGGTCGGGGGAGACAGGAGAGGGGGCAAGGGTGCTTTGGCCCGATTCACGGCAACTGTACATAGTGTGAGTACGCCCTTAAACACAGAAGTGAACTTGGTGAGGTGACAAACCCTTAGTGTAGCCGAGGCAATTCCACAACCCCAGATGGCCACTCAACAAATCATTTATCCACAAAGCACAACCTTTTTTCAACTCAGTCTAGCTTATTTGTTTTGGACATGCTCAAATTAGTTTAGACTGACATGGCAATCTCTTCATGACAATATCACAATAGATGTTGAAAGACAAATATGATAAGGAGTTAAATAGGTTTAGAGAGAGATAAACAGTGCCTCCTACCATTAGTCCAGCCTGGCCTCCACTGGCTTACAGCAGTTCAGAGTTGGCTGTAAAGAGAAAAAAATGGTTTTCAGATGAGACTCAGATGACACACAGTACAGATTAAACATTACGCTCATTCACTTCAATGGTACGGATTCACACAATGACAACAGGGTGTGCTCTTGTTTGGATTATGATGCATGATTTTGGTTGAGTCATTTCCGGGAACATAACTTCTCATTACATCATTAGATGACACGGTGCATTACCAGCATCCTAAACAACCTTTTATTTTCTTGATCAAATTTGCCATACTAATTTTGTTAACTGCTGAGTAAACAAACATGTCAAACTTTGCAAAAAACCTCATCAGGATGTATGAAACAAGTATTTATAAAACAGCCAGAGCTTTAGGTATGTCAAACTGGTGGTTTGAGTCTGGTGGTGGCTTAAAATGGGCCTTGAATGGAGAGAATAACAGCCAGCTGTAATCCTCTTTATTCAGCTTACTTCAACACACATGACGCCTCATACTGCAGTACCACAGCACTCCAAAATAAGTTCAGCTGTTAGGAGAGTGAAATAGTGACCGCTCACTTTTTTTTTTATCAGCTTTGGTGTCATTTCGCAATTGGAATGCAAAAGATTCCTCAATAGAGTGCAGCGGTGACCTCCCTCTTTATTAGCAGCCTAGATCCTGAAATTAGTTTCCACACAGGGTTTTTGAAAATGCGTTATAGCTCATGAACCAAGACTACTTCATGGCATGAAAGATTAAAAGTACTACTGTCTAGTGAAGCAATGGAAAGCACACAAAAAAACAATAGAGATATATAAAGGCATTGATTTAACTTTGTTATAGATTTTTTTGTAAAACATTATGGGTGTACTGGTACATGTTATCAGCCTGATCTGTCATGGTACAGGAATGTACAACAGCTTAAGAGCCATTCAGCATTTAGCCAGCACGAAAACGTCCATTGCAGTGCACAGAAATTGTATTTAAAAAAAATAAATAAATAAATAAAAACATTTCTTCCTGAGATAACATCAAATAAAACAGTGGTCATGCCAACTTGTTTTTGTAAAGAGAAGCTTGCACCGGCTGCAAGATCTTCTGATTGGTCTACTGTATGGCTGCACAATATGTTGTTTCAGTATTGATATTGTAATGTGCGAGAGTGCAATAGTCACATCACGGAATCAGTCAAGTTGTGATAATTAATCAGAAATGAAAGTTCACAACATAGTGGCAGGCGACGTGGTGGCACAGTATTAAGTGATGTTGCCTCACAGCAAGAAGGTCGCTGGTTCGAGCCTCAGCTGGGTCAGTTGCCATTTCTGTGTGGAGTTTGCATGTTCTCCCCACGCTCACGAAGGTTTCCTCCGAGTGCTCTGGTTTCCCCAACAGTCCAAAGACATGTGGTTCAGGTGAATTGGGTAAGCTAAAATTGTCCGTAGTGTATGTGTGTGAATGAGAGTGTATTTCCCAGTGATGGGTTGCAGCTGGAAGGGCATCCGCTGCGTAAAACATGTGCTGGATAAATTGGTGGTTCATTCCGCTGTGGCGACCCCACATTAATAAAGGGACTAAGCTGAAAATGAATGAATGAATGAATGAACATAGTGCCATCATTTCAAATTGTAAACTTAGAGTGAAAGTTAATTATTTGCATTTGTTTTTAAGGCCTGTGACTAAGCATTTCAATCTATCATCTCAAAAACATTGCATTGCATCAATTAGATGCTTTGTTTCCAGTGAAGACTTAGACAAACTTGTTCATGCTTTTATCGGCAGTAGGTTGGATTACTGTAACGGCCTCCTCACAGGCCTTCCCAAAAAGACAGTCAGACAGTTACAGCTCATCCGGAACGCTGCGGTCAGGATTCTGACCAGAACCAGAAAATCAGAGCACATCCCATCCCACCTCAGGTCCTTACACTGGCTCCCAGTTACATTCAGAATAGATTTTAAGATATTATTACTGGTCTATAAACACTAAATGGCCTAGGACCTCAATACATTACAGATATGTTCAATGAATACAAACAGATCACTCAGATCTTTAGGATCACATAAACTAGAAATTACAAGAGTTTAGTCGAAGCAGGGTGAATCGGCTTTCAGCTACTACACCTCTCACTGCTGGAATCAGCTTCCAGAAATGATCAGATGTGCTCCAACATTAGGCACATTCAAATCAAGACTGAAAACACATCTGTTTAGCTGGGTCTTTACTGAATGAGCACTGTGCTACTTCCAACAGAACACACTATTGATTTTGTCTTCTTTTTCATTCTTTTATAACCTGTTTAAACACATTTTATCAGTTTTTAACAAGGTTTTTTAATCATTTTTATTATTATATTTATTACTTTTATTCCTGTATGTAAAGCACTTTGAATTGCCACTGTGTATGAAATGTGCTATGTAAATACATTTGCTTTGCCTAATGTAATGAATTTTGGCACAATAAATTAAACGTTTGCCCCTTACAGATCAATTGTACATTTAAATAATTATTTACTCAATGAAAACGATAGTGTTATTATTACCCTTATACAGTGGTCATTTCATTTCTGTTGTTGAATACTGTTCGACTCCCCAGAAAATCGTAAGTCATGGCTAACTTAATTCTTTACACAGCGATATTCAAGTCATCTGTTGAAATTGTATTCATATCATATTATATATCGCTGTAAAAGAAAATATTGCAATGTCAGGTTTTTTTCCAATATCGTGCAGCCCTAGCCTAATGCTGACATCGATAAGCAGCACTGCTGCATGTAAAACTAGAAATTCTTTGAACTTGTCACTGTGTCTTAAAAACAGGACACATTTACGAGGCATTTCAAAAGATGTAAGCAAATAACATACGTTTACATGCCAAAAATAAATAAATAAATGTAAAAAAACTGTCCCATCTAGTTTACACATAAGCCAGTCTGTGGTTTCTTCTCTATACACAAGAGCAGTGATTGAACACCAGTTGAATAGATCTTCCTTGCAAGAATTTGCACTAAAAGATAAAATTTTAAAGTCTATTTTAAATCAAATGCACAACTAAAGGGATAGTTCACCCAAATTAAAATGTAGTCACTATTATTATTATTCATTAAAATTATATTGAATGGCTGTGCTGCCTTTTGTAAATTGTAGTCAAATGTATGGGAAGTATAAGAACAAGTATATTTAATAAAACAAAAACTTAAATGTCATTGATTTACAACCTCGTCTTAAAAGGAAGTTATTGTCACAAATAAATTTCCTGATGAACAGAATTACTAGGATTATTTATTCTGGAACATGATTGTGGCACTCTAAATTAAACCACAAACTGAACAAATCACATTCAAGATGAAATTAAACTCTTTTAAAAAGCTGATTAAATTATTCGGCTTTAATTTCTTAAATCCTGTGTTTACAAAACGTCTCGAATGTTAACCTCACCACACAGTGTTCTGCCAAGTACACCAACATTTCTTCTTACCCTTCGAAAACAAACACCACTGCCAAAAACGATCTTGAAAACCCAAATCCAAACCACAACAAGATCAACCATCCACAGTCAAACCGAGAAACAAGTCAATATGGGTCCCGACTAAACCCAAGGCCTACAACTAGTTTAGCAGGAAACAAACCCACACCCAGCTTAGCCGTAAACAAACCCAGACCTTAATTAGTTCAGAAGCACAGTATCCTCCAGATGTGGGAGTGGCACAACAGCAAGGTGACACACACATAGTACTGTGAAGGAATTGTGGTGTGTGTAGCTTTACTCGGTGTGGAGTGTTGATGTGTCTGTGTCCTACATGCATAATTAAATGGACGAGTGACAGAGTGACGCACACGCCTGGCACAGCTATTCTATAACACAATCATATTTAACGCAACAGCAGTTTAACAGGCCCTGTGCACACCCAAGATCACCCTAGGGTGCTGTCACACCAGTTCTATCGGTCCAAAAACATGAGTATTGATGGTACCTTCAGTAACTTGTGTGAGCAACATTCTTTTGAGCAGCCTGTTCTAGTATCTAAGAGTTAAAAATGAACTCTCTACATCTTACAAGGGCAGATAATGTCACAGCAAGTCAATATATGTCACAGGCATGGGCTTTGAACATTTTACAATGTTTGATAGCTCTTACTGGTTTCTTAATATACGTAGAAATAAAAAAATACATTTATGCATTTGACAAATGTGTTTACATACAAAGCCACTTGCAGGTTATGGTATACTTTTTTATGTTTTCCAGGAATCTGATCATGACCTTGCTGTTTTTAGTGCCATGCTCTACCAGTCAGCTGACGGAGTCAAGGAAACATTTAAGATTGGATCTGATTCAAAATTTTAAAACCTCAGTTTGACTAGAGTAATTTATAAGATCATTTATAACAGAGCTGAAGATAGAAATGTTTAGTTTATTGTAGCAAAAGAAAAGTATTGTTGTCTCCGTTTAATAAAAAAAAGCTATTTATTGTGCAAATAGAGCTGCAGATTAATGAGACGGAAAATTACTGTGTACTGCAGTACCAATTACTTATTTGTTACATACTGAAAAAACTTGTTCAAACCTAATCCATGTCAATACAGGAATGTAACAACATCATTTTGAACTTTTAGCTACCTTTAACTTTAATAAGCAAAGCACAATGGTATTAAAAAAATAAATATTTTAACAAGCACAGCGTCTCATGAACAATTAGTTCATTTAAACAATAAGTTGGTTAAATAAGTGTGAACAGATCTCTGATCTCTAGTGTGGTTTGAATGCAATTTGAATGAAACAGACAAAAGACATCTAAACAAACCCAAAACAAAATATCATGTGACAGGCTGTGACTATAAAAAAGCCAAGACAAGCAAAATAGAAGTGTGAACACACCCTTAATCATGACGGTTTGAGAGAGATATTAAATTAACAATGCTTGCAACAGGATGAATTAAAAACATTTTCTACATTTTATTCTGAATAAACTATTGCTGTGAAATACTATGCATTGTTGAAGGACTATTTGACCAGTTTGAAATGAAATGTGAAGAATTTACCCAGCATTCTTTGGCCTTCGACCCAAATATTTTAAAGACATTCACCTTTATTTTTAAAACTATTTTAAGCTGTTGTTAAAAGTAGCTATAGCTACATCAACACAGGGTCACTAAAAAGCCAATTTACTAAACTTGCCACATAAACATTCTTATAATTTCACCCCACAACTGATATTTTTATACACTGCACACAAACTTAGCCAAATGATCTCCTCTCGCATATATGCCAACATATACATACATGCATATGTATACATACACAATCGTTCATATATACATATACATACACATGAATACGTATACACATTCACATATAGTCTATAGCTTTGATATTATAAATCAAATCATGTGATCCGGAAGTGTATAAAAAGAAGCACTTGATTGTCATCAACATTGTCTGATGAAGAGCGGGCAGCTCGAAACGTTACAGGCTCTGTGTCAGCCTTTTTAATTTAATAAATTTGTATTTTTGGAGCCTTGGTGTTGCCGCCTTTGATTTACATTTAATTTGCACTTTTTGCGGTTTTGGCTGAGCACCCAATTAAGAGAGATGTGCATGCTTTCGTACAGTTTTTTCATTCTTCTATTGAATACAAAATAATAATTTCTAAAGTATTTCAAAAAACCTGCAGCCAATGACTGCAAAAATATGTAATATATATTCCTATATATAAAACTATGGAAGTCAATAGCTGCTTTACCCAACATTCATCATTATCTTCCTTTGTGTTCAATAGAAGAAAGACACTGAAACAGGTTCATAACCAGTCAAAGGAGAGTGAATGATTACAGAATTGTAATTTTTGCGTGAAACATTCATTTAAAAACATTAATCATTAAACCCCTTATAAGCATTCTATAGTATTGTACTTGGTGTGGCTGATATGGGTCAGCTTATTCTCTCCATCTCTCTCCCCCAGTCCTGATCTCGTTGCTTCCCAAGGTCACATCACTCTCTCTGTATGTGTGTATGTGTGTATGTGTGTGTGTGTGTGTGTGTGTGTGTGTGCCTTTGAGCAACATTACACTCCTCTACAGTCAAGACATTCAGGACACTCAACAACAATGGCATTATGAATCTCCATGAATCGGTCGACATATTCCACATACCATGCTTGACAAACAATTGCTGCATAATTGTTCCTGAACAAACCTGAATGTGATGAATAACATAAGCATCCATACCTTCAGTTCCAGTCATCCTGCTCAGTCTTCTCAACACAGAAATCTGATACTGTGGATAAATCTAAGTGGAAATCCAAAACTGTCTCTCTTGCATAGAGAAACCGCCAGTCCCTCAATGCAGTGTAAACTGTTCTCTTGACACTTCAGTTAACTTGCCCCTCATAAAAGCAGGATTATCACATGCTGAAAAAAAGTAGAAAGACATTTGATTGAAACAACAGCTATTATACTTTAGCAGCAGTACAATAATGTACATCACAGTCATTGTGTTCTAAAAGACAAAAAAACAGACCAAAATTCTTCAAACTTGTATTTAATTAGTGCAACAATATATATATATATATATATATATATATATATATATATATATATATATATACACACACACACACACACACACACACACACAGTTGAAGTCTGAATTATTAGCCCCCGAGAATTATTAGTTTTTAATTTTTTAAACACCATTTTAAGGACAAAATTATAAGCTCCTTTAAGCTACATATTTTTTTGATAGTCTATAGAACAAACCATCATTATAAAATAACTTGCCTAATTACCCTAACCAGCCTAGTTAACCTAATTAACATAGTTAAGTCTTTAAATGTCACTTTAAGCTGTATAGACGTGTCTTGAAAAACATATCCTAAGATATTATTCACTGTCAACATGGCAAAAATAAATCAGTTATTAGAAACGAGTTTCTAAAACTATAATGTTGAGAAATGCGTTAAAAATTCTGCTCTCCGTTAAACAGAAAATGGGGAAAAAATAAACAGGGGGCTAATAATTAAGGAGGGCTAAAAATTTTGACTAACTATATATTAGGGCTACACGTACACGATACTGGAAAATTTATAATAGGGCTACACGTACAAGATACTGGAAAAATCTGATATTACGATATATTATTTTTCTGCGGTAAATAAATATTGTGATATGAATACAGTTTCAGAAGATGGTTTGAATAGCTCTTTTTGATGGTTTTCTAGGGAGTCTAACAGTATTCAGGTACAAAACTAGAATACTTATAATGCGAAACAACGCTTTTCCTACTTTGTCTTGTTTCTAGCACAAATATCAAAAATAATTTTCGACCAAGTAAAAATAATGTTTGGTTTTTCACCGTCAGTATAAATAAGCATTTTAGTTTTTTGCATATTTAAAGAAAATGATCTGTCAGTGGGGTAATTAAAATCATCTTGTTTTCGCTTAGGACTAGAACCAAGACAAAAATTCAAAGTAAGAAATGTTTTTAACATTAATCATATAGATTTCATATAAATACAGTGATTAAATACAATTCTGTACAATTCTGTATATTGGTGCTGAAATGATAACAAATCCAACATTTTAAGATATTTAAATAGACTAAATAAATGTAAAACATTTACATAAAAGAAACACACAATTCTAAATTAATCAAAAGTATCTGATAAAAATAAAAAAATAATGCAATTATATTGAATTTAGAAACAGAAATAAGATTAAACAAATGAATATATACAAATCAGGTTGTCCTGAATACATAGCTTAAAATAACCAAATATATATGCATTTATTATACATTAAGTATTATAACAATGTAACTACAATAAATAATGCAACCCAACAGATGCTAAATACATTAGATAAAGAAAAAAATAATAATTTACACACATTTATGTTTAAAAATAACCTATTTTAACTTCACACAAGAAACTGAAGAGATGTCTTTTTCTTTTAAGGAAGTGCCTAGCGTGAGAATGATCCTGTATGGTCTGTAGCATCTAAAAAGCTGAAAGCCACTGAATCAATGGACGATTATACAGTCAAACAACCTCCTGAAGCATATAGAAAACACGCAAGTTCAAGTCTACTCAGGACATTAAACATGAATGTTCCCTAACGTTAGTGTTTACATCAACCGGATGGACTGTAACGTTATGTGACGGCCAAACAAACCCACATGCTCATACAACAAAAACAGACGACTGTTCATGTTGAACTGACATTTTCAAAAACTGCAACAGCCACACACAAGACCGGCTAAGTAAATGAAGCTAACTCTGCCGTCGAGCTTTTCTTAAGTCGAGCTGTCACTGGCAGACTACAGCATGACATGCAACACAGAGAGTTAAAACATGAATACAAACCCATTTCACTTCGTGAGACAATCGGATGTGGCTGAAAGCTGAATTAATCCGATAATTTTCCTCAACTGTCCGTGGATGCGGTCGCTAGCTGAGTTAGCTGCCCGGCTAGCTGGTAAATGGACAGTTTACGCCCAACCCAGGCTAATACTATTAGACGGTCGATAAAACGCGTCGCTGCACACGATCATCACCACAGACTGACAAAAACATCGGAAACACTGCGCTCGAACCGCTCGAGCGGAAGGAAGAACGACCAACCCTTAAACCCGGCAGCTTGTTACATGTTGGGGTGCATGTAAACGCCTGTCAAAGTCGTACAAACAGACAGCATCAGCATCTGATCAGGCGAGAGAGCCTGTTTGGGTGGCACCACTCAGTGGGACCTTATTATATCAGCAACATACAAACATGCGAGTGGGTGGCATGCGAAGTGTGCTGATTTGTATGGATAATATTTATAAATTGTAAACTATATGTTCTACATCTTACCAGCAAACTCTGCCGTAGAAGATAAACCGCCTACATAATAATTAATATAAACATTTTTATTATTTAATATATTAAGAATTTAATAATAGCAATATCATCAAAATTATGGGAGTTTGATAATTTTTAGTTTTTAATTTTTGTTTTAAATATCGAGACAGAAAGATTTAAATAATCAGTTATATGACAAAAAATCAAATGTCCACTTTAAGATTTGCGTACTCTATGCTATTATACAGTCGTTTGGTTATGCTTGCGCTGTGTTATTGTTATTAAATATTATAAAATTATTTGATATTTTTCTGGGTTCTAATTGTAAAAGACCTTCTTTCATCTTTTAAAAAAACACAACTGATGATGTACATTTTCAATTAAGTTTTAAAATAATATTTACTGTAATGTAGCCTACTACGGTGTTATTTTTGTATTAACATTCTGCACTGTTTACTATATGTGTAGTGTATTTATACATTTATGAATGCACTGAGCACGCTGAATCTGTGTATTTTGGAGCGGTTAGCGGTGAGATTATGTTTTGGTGTAAATATAAGGTTAGTTTATGGTTGGTTCTGTCTGTCTGACCTGCTGCACCTGATCTCGCGGCGTGCTCGCGCGGCTAGGCTGCTAACGTCATCAGCCAACACAGGCTAAAACCGACTAGCTCGCTAATAGTTCAGCCGACAAACTGGCCAACTGTGCCCGGCCCCACAACCCAGCCTACAACATATAGGCGGTGGCTTGTCGTTAACGCTGTGATTATACAGAAGGCGAAAGCAAGTGCGTTTTGCGGAAACAACTTACGTGGGCGCTGAGAGAGAATAGTGCTGATGTCCGTTAATTTCTCCCGATGGCACACTCCCACGGTGACGTCAGCGGCGCGCTCACAACGCGTGAGGAAAGCGGCAGTCACTCGTCTGCGCGTGGCACGATATGACGGAGTGACCACATCAGTGTCTCAAAGGCAAAAATGGTCAGTCAGTGGTTATCAATTGCTTAAAGGAGAAGTTCATCTTTTTGTGTGAAATAATATTTTAATATGGAAACATGACTGACACAGTCTCGATCATCAATTGTTTATATTGCATCTTTTTTTATTATGCAAAATGCAAGTAAAACACTGAGAAACTGAATTTGATGCACTCTGTTCATCTAATCTGTGGTGGAGAATAACCTATATATAGTAGGGCAGACTGTGCGTAACATGAGTGTCTGTATTTCATCCTCAAAATACATTTACATAAGATAGGTTGACTATTTAAGTTAAGTTATAGGATTAATTGGAATTTTAATATATATTTTATTAAGCATAATTAGCAACGAAAACATTAGAGGTTAGCAGGACAAAGTTGAAACATTGTAAATCAGATTTTCACACTAGTGTGCTGTTAACAAATAAATGCAAATAATCTGGAAATTTATGAGAAAAAATTGAGCTGATTTTTTTTTAAAGATATACTTTAGTTATCACAAAAAGTCTAGTAAATTTAGTAAATTAAAATGAAAATTAAACTCTTGGTCAAAAACATGACCTGAAATAAAAAATATATACGAGAGAGAGAGAGAGAGAGAGAGAGAGAGAGAGAGAGAGAGAGAAAGAGAGCTAAGAACACCCCTCACAGATTTCTCTTTTAAATGAATATTTTCTAAAGGATGCTTTACAATAATATATTTGTGCATATACATTAGATTATTCAGTACCAATGCAAAGTAAAAAAAAAAAATATATATATATATATATATATATATATATATATATATATATATATATATATATATTGCTATTAAGTGACTATGCAGTTTTAATCATTATTAAGAGGTTAAGTGAATTTAAGTGGCATCAAATTATGGCAGGTGAATGTTAACATTACTTTGATTAAGCTTGAACTTAAGGCTTAGCCTTGGAGTTAGCCTGCCCCGGACCAGGCTAGTTTCCCAGGATAAGTTGCCAGGGTAAATAGGTTTGAACTATCGTAAACTTGATTTATGAAACCGAATCCGCCATTAATAAACCTGACTTACCAAAATAAGCCTGGCTTTTTCTGTAAGCTTGGTTTATGGAATAGCCCCCTGGTTGTTTATAGAAACACCTGTAGATGCACTTTTAATGGACATATCACCCAAGAGCATGATTTTTATACAAAAAAAAAAAAACACATTTGTTTTATAAACATTTCTAACTTAATTCATTTGATAAAAATGAATATCTAACTGCATATAATAAATGTAAAGAAGATGGTCCAAATTCTGTCATTTTTACTTTTATTCACTGGATTTAGTAGCTTTTTAAACAATTTTTTTTTACCAAAAGGTTTGCATGTCTTAATTCTGCCAAACTAGAATTACAAAACTGATATTAGAGAGAGAGAGAAACAAAAAGTAAATTAATCAAGAATTTAAAAAAAAAGTGTACAACACATTTAAGTTGAGGGGAAAAAAAAAATAAAAAAAAAAAAAAAAATTACAACCTTGAGCTACAGTAAATATTTCATCTTAAATTAAGTGCATGTAAAACAGTTTTTTTTAATGTATATATATATATATATATATATATATATATATATATATATGAAAAAAAAATAGTTATTTGGGGATATTTTGTAACAAAAATAATAATAATTTGGAAACACCTACTCAAAGCATTAAACAAGTTAGTTTGTGCCTGCATGGTTCTCCCCAATTACTGATTCAACTATCATAACCACAAGTGGTTTCGCACACACTTAGTCTTGACTGTTCTTACGGAGTCACAACTCTTCTAATTTTGGGGTAGCCCATGTTCCCTCAGAGCATTTTCAGGACTCTGTTTTAAAATCACCAACTACCTGACGTTGACAAGACTGCTTTTGACTTTACAAATTACTCAACAGCTCATTAGTTCCTTTCCTAAATCACCCAAGAACCTACTTGTAACCGGTCAAAGTTTACATAATATTATTATATATTAAAAAAAAATAATAATAATTTAAAAAAATCCATACACAAAATCCATTAGTGTATATGCAAGTTCAGTTTCTAGAAATGGATTCAGAAGACGAACCAAAGAATAACTTGTTTAAGGGAAAGCCAGGAAACAAATTTGGTCTCAAGAGGCTTTATTTGGCTCACATGACTAACAAAAAGTTTGACTCTTGCAGCATCAGAGCACTTCTGTTCATCTTTTCTGTTTGCGAGACCAGATGGACCAAGGAGAATTGAGACGTTGAGGGTTAGAGACTGACTGAGGTACCGGAGGCCAGAGGGGGTTTTTAAAACCAGTGTTCACTGGGTTAAATGGCATTGGAAAAACTGGATACTGTGGAATCTGGGGGGCAGCTGGGGTGGGTGGTGGAGGTGGTTGGAATGGTGCAAATTCATTAGGAGGCAACATTGGGTACCAGGACTCTTGAGACTCAGGGTACCAGTGACGATGATGGTGCCGATGATGGTGCCTTCGTCGGTGAGGGAAACCTCCATAGTAATAAGGGTAATACATTGGAAATGGACTGTAAACAGGGGCTTGAACTGGAGCCGGAACTGTGGGGGGTGCAGCAGGAGGAGCCTGGTTCCAAGGGTACCACCAGGGGTATCCAACTGGGAAATAAGGATACCCTTGTGGAAATTGTGTGGGGGGAACAGTCGGTGTTGAGTCTGTTGCCTTCGGGCAGGAAAGAACCACTTCTCGGTCTCCCAACAGCAAAGTCAAGTTCCAGTCGGTGTCCTGAAAACAAGGGTACCAGTCAACTGCACAGAACTTTCTCAGATTTAATTAGAATTTTACTGCCCACACTTACCTGACTATCCCAACAACTTCCTGTAAATGGTGCAGTCAACACCATTGAGCCACCAACATTATCCAGAGTAAATGAGCACATGGAGGATGTCAGAGACAAAGGCATCCATGATCCAGAAACTAAAGCAGAACAAGTGTTAGGGGTAAATAGTAAAACGTTAAAAGAAACCAAACGAAAGCAGCTTACCTTTAACAAGAACATCATCTCCTCTGACACCAAATGAGACGATCATACCAGAGGAGATGCAGGACACCACAGGAAGGCGAGGACTCACAGGGCAGGACATTTGCACTGGAGCCCCCATTATAATGAGTGGCAGAACATAACTGCCACCCTATTAGAGGTGGATGATGTTATTCAAGGCTGCAGGATATTAGCAGAACTATGGTACACCTATCAGATTTAATATTCACACTAACCTGTTGTCTCACATTACATCCAGTGTATGGAGCAACAAGAGAAACATCCCTGCGTACCCGCTTCAGTGAGAACCCACAGCTGGCTGGCATCTCAGACAAAGACACTGGTGACCCCTCTCCTGATGTAGGGGAATTCAAGAGTTAAGATTGAGGGGTGGAAACAAACATACACAATCCCATTCAAAAAACTTGCCTCTCTCAACCAGAAAGTGTGGTGTTCTGTGTCCTTTAATATTTAAGGTCATTGAATCATTCCCACACTGTAGAGAAGGACCCAGTCGTTGCAGTTTAGCTCTTGCCAGCCGGAACCGTTCTTAAAAACACAAGTGATGTTATTTACCATATTTAGAGCACATTAGGACCCTATTTAAAAATAAAAAAAAATAAAAAAATTATAAAAAAATAGAGGAATCATGTTACCATCTTCATTTGACTGTTCTGCTGATCCAAGTCTAAAAGTATCCTTTTTATCATCAGATGTAGCACTTCGACCACCAATTAAAAGTTTGCCAAAATGGATTGCATCTCCAGAGACTACTCCATTAGCACCAGTTTCAGAAAAGGCCTCTCTACCAGCAATTGAAGAACTAAATGACATCACAGCCATCATGAAAAGTAAAATGCCCTTTGGCCAAGGCATGGTGAGTCTTCTGAGTACCCCAGTGAAACCTAAAAACATTTTTTCTTCACAATTTCCTACCTCTAACTGTTGTGAAGGTTATTGAGTCGTGGTAGTCTTTTTGTAGTAACTTTTGAATCTCTCAGTGACACTGATAGACCAATCACATCTGTTCATCAATCAGCTTCAATTACCTGTGCCTCGTTAAGCTGAGAGTTAATGCAAGGGCTGAATTTGATTCCTTTTTTTCCCTTTTCAGTTACAAACAACTAAATAACACACACACACACACACACACACACACACACACACACACACACACACACACACTAGGATGATAGTTTATAGTGTAGATATAAATACGGATGTTGATGGGAAAGATTAAAATCACAGTTTAATCTAACTTGATGTTAAAAAATGAAAGTTGTAGCATTATAAACCAATAGGTGGTGACAACCAGCCATTAAAAATGTGTCACTGGATAATTTTTCAAAGTTGACATATCTAGTAATAAAACATTACGTTTTTATGAGTGAGTTAATGAATCGTTAATTTAAAAAGGTGTTTTACTGTTGGATTCATGCATTCATCATTATCAGCAACTGTAGTGAATATCATCTTTCACAATATTGATTATTTTAATATTAATTTTAATTCAGCTGGTCATACCTTATTTATTTTTATTTAAGTTACAGGTCATACATCATGTTTGTTAAAACAAAGTTTCTTGTAGTACTGTTTTTGTAATAAATAGAAAGCAAATTACATTTTCTTCTGTATCCTATTTTTGCTGATCCGAAAAATGCTCTGATCTGTGACTCAAAAACTGTCAGAACCATTAGATTTGTGAGTGAGTGATTGAGTCACACTGGTTTCATTAGTATGGATACCTGCACATATATGTAGAAATAGCTAGTAAATTGTGGTTGATGCAGACAGTTTCATTTTCCAATGAATAAATTATGAAAAGGATCATTTAAAAAAAAAGTGTTAAGAATTTGTGGCATAGTGAATGTGATGGTGAGAAATGAAAAGATAACATTATAAATATACATAGAATAAGATACACTTCACTTAATCATTACATACAACAGAATAACCTGAGTCTGCATTTAGTCTTAAATGTGAAATTCTTGATAAACAGATCATGTATTAATAAAATATTTGATAATGAAAGATTTACAGATGCTTGCAAAAGGACTTCACATAGGAATACATCAGATCTCACTTTAGGTATTGTTAACAATGACGCAAGTATAGATATGCTTAAAATATTATGCAAGTACCTCACAAACAAAGAACAGGATTTTAACATCCATAATTAATAAGGTGTTTACCATCTTCACTTTGGTCCTTGATTTATCAGGGTCCACCACAGCAGAATGAACCCCCAATTACTCCAGCACTTTTTATGCAACAGATGTGCTTCCAGCTCAAACCTAATTCTGAAAGTAAACTAACCTGTGAACCAGCTTGGAAATATTCATACACAAATACTACATGCAATTTCGTTCGTTCAATTCACCCACATGCATGACTTTGGGGGAAACTGGAGCACCCAATATACACCCCATGCAGACATGAGGTGAACATGGGATGGGACTCAAACCAACATCCGTCTTCCATTGAAGTGACAGTTTGAACCACCGAGCTACTCATAAAATGGTAATTTCTCTGAGACACTCTTTATTAGAATGGTTCCCACTCAACACACTAGATTTTTTTTTTTCACATAAAATAACATCATTTTCAACTGACTTCAGCGCTAAGCCCTATGTCAAACGATGCATTTTACTGAAGTTGGAGGTGACGAGACCTGTAATGACAAACCAAACCACATGCTTTAATAAATGCAATTAAGCACACTTCCACTAAAAAAAGAAAAAAAAACTGAAAGTGATCCATGAAAGATGATTTCAAAGATGGTCTTATTTTTTTTTAAAGCAAATATAATTTAAATTGGACACTTGCATGAGTTACATTTACACAGTCTAACATGGGTACAGTAGGACCAATTGTTCTTGAATGAAATGGTTTAGAAGACGAAAGTAAAAGTTTCCCTTTTTTTTGACACCCCCCCCATCCAAAAAGGTAGTCATGACTTGCATTTTATGGATCAAATGGTATTGCTGAACTATACTCTAGCTTAGTGCCTCATGGGAAAACTTAATGAAGACACCAAATAGCAGCCAGGAGAACAATGCAGTGTTGAACTTTATTAAGCATGAAATTGACCAGAAACAGTTTGAGTTTTCCCCATAGTCAAATCCACATTTACTGCTTTCCACGAGACATGGAGTTTGAGCGAGGAGAAATTAATATTTGGGGACTAGAGACTGACTTTCGAAGTACCTGGGGAACAAACGGGTTTTTAAAAGCAGTGTTGGCAGGCTTAAAGGGCATTGGATAAAACGGATATTGTCGAATCTGGGGGGCAGCTGTGGTTGGTGGTGGAAGTGGTGGTTGGAATTGTGCAAATGCATAAGGAGGAGACAGCATTGGGTACCAGGACTCTTGAGACTCAGGGTACCAGTGTCGATGATGGTGCCTTCGTCGTGGAGGGAAACCTCCATAGTAATAAGGGTAATACATTGGAAAAGGGTTGTAAACAGGGGCTTTAACTGGAGCAGAAGTTGTAGGTGGTGCAGCAGGAGGAGCCTGGTTCCAAGAGTACCACCAGGGGTATCCAAATGGGAAATATGGATACCCTTGTGGAAATTGTGTGGGGGGAACGGTCGGTGTTGATTCTGTTGGCTTTGGGCAGGAAAGAACCACTTCTCGGTCTCCCAACAGCAAAGGCAAGTTCCAGTATGTGTCCTGAGGATGAGTGACAATCAACTGCACAGAACTTCAGCTCAAGTTTAACTAGAAGTTCACTGCCAATACTTACCTGACTATCCCAACAACTTCCTGTAAATGGTGCAATTAACACCACTGAGCCACCAACATTATCCAGAGTGAATGAGCACATGGAGGATGTCAGAGATAAAGGCATCCATGATCCAGAAACTGAAGCGAAATAAGTTTTAGGGGTAATATCATAAACCAACTTTAAAAGAAACCAAATGAAAGCAGCTTACCTTTAACAAGAACATCATCTGCTCTGACACCAAATGAGACGATCATACCAGAGGAGGTGCAGGACACCACAGGAAGGCGAGGACTCACAGGGCAGGACATTTGCACTGGAGCCCCCATTATAATGAGTGGCAGAACATAACTACCACCCTATTAGAGGTGGATGAGGTTATTCAAGGTTTTATGATTGGAGACGAACCGGTCAGATTTAATTATCACACTAACCTGTTGTCTGACGTTACAACCAGTGTATGGAGCAACAAGAGAAACATCCCTGCGTACCCGCTTAAGTGAGAACCCACAGCTGGCTGGCATCTCAGACAAAGACACTGGTGAACCCTCTCCTGATGCAGGGGAATTAAAGAATTTAGATTGAGGGGTGGAAACAAACATACACAATCCCATTCACACAACTTGCCTCTCTCAACCAGAAAGTGTGGTGTTCTGTGTCCTTTAATATTTAAGGTCATTGAATCATTTCCACACTGTAGAGAAGGACCCAGTCGTTGCAGTTTAGCTCTTGCCAGCCGGAATCGTTCTTAAAACACAATTAAAGTGATGTTATTTACCATATTTAAAACACAGTAGGTCCCTATATTTAAAATTTAGATCAGAGTTACCTTCTTCATTTGATTGTTCTGCTGACGCAAATCTGGACGCATCCCTTTTATCATCAGATGTGGCACTTTGACCACCAATTAAAAGTTTGCCAAAATAAACAGTGCCTCCAGAGACTGCTTCATTATCACCAGTTTCAAAAAAGGTCTTTGGACCAGCAATTGAAGCACTGAATGACATCACAGCCATCACAAAAAGTAAAATGCCCTTTGGCCAAGGCATGGTAAGTTTATTGTAGCTCCCCAGTAAAACCTAAAAACTGTTTTTCTTCACAAATTATTAAAAAAAAAAATGTAACACTAAAGATTGTTAAGACACACTAGACATTTTGTAGTCACTTTCAACACTAATAGACCAATCACATCTGTTCATCAATCAGCTTGTTTCACCTGTGCCTCGTTTACCGCAGAGTTAATGCAAGGGCTGAATTTAGAATAGCACATTCTGCTGGTGAAGACAAAATGTGTTATGAAGTGACTAGATGAGATTCCTCAAAGAATATTAAGTTATATCTTTTAAATAAAGTATGCAAATCAGGAACACTTTCTTCTTTTTGGGAAAATCATGACAGAACTGATCCAATTGTAAAGCCAGTAAAAGATAATTCAAAACTTACAAACCAAATGCATTAACATCTAACCAGTGAACCAATGAAAAAGATGATATTAGCAAGGTTGAATTACGTTGTCTGGAATCAAACATTTAAAGGTTATATATATATATATATATATATATATATATATATATATATATATATATATATATATATAGAGAGAGAGAGAGAGAGAGAGAGAGAGAGAGAGAGAGAGAGAGAGACAAAGTTCAATATGATGCATAAGGAAGCAATTTGAATTAAACTGAAAAAGTTTATTAAAATTGAACTAAGATTTTTTTTTTTTTTTAACCGATTGATCTTTTAATAGCGGAATCCTTCTGCTCAAAGATATTTACAAGTCAAAAAGGTGGTAGTCCACAAGGCAGTGTTTGCAGCCCTAACGCATTTAACATAATTATAAAAATTGAGTTTAATACAGTTGGACCACTGATTACAAAGTCTTTATATGCAGATGGAGCAATTAGAAAAAAATAATGAAAATTGCTGTTATAAAAGAATAAGTATTGGGGATTCTGAATTTCATTTAAAGCTAGAGTACACATTTCATTGGTAAGATAACACACTGATAAGTAAACTTATAAACAAAATCTGAAACTGGTGTCTAAATATAGATTTTTAGGTATTTTATTGGACTTAAAACATCTGAAAAACTAATTTTACAGACAGTCGATATATGTACAAGATGAATTAATGTAATGTTTTATTAGAATAATATAGTTTAAAGTAAACCTAAAGTGCACTTTTATAGTATTAGATTAGTAAGAGTTACCAAACAGCTTCAGCACCATTGTTGGTTAAGGTAATTTAAATACAAAACCAGATATTAACTATGCGGTGAACCATTTTAAGCATTTCAGGTTAAAATGAATGAGATAAGATCTTAGGTTAAAGCTGAAAATATGTCAGGACTCTGTAAATAGCCATTTAGAAAAGACAAGAGGATTAGTAAACTGATTGGAATTACAATATGCAATCCTAAATTGTTTTAGTTATAAAGCTAAAAATGGGACTTTGAACTAACCGTGATTTTCAGGTTTTAGAGAATCATAAACAGGCTTTTTTTTTTTTTTTTTTTTTTTTTTTTAAGAATGAAAGTGAACAAATTAGTTCAGAAATGCACACACACGTTCAAGAATTGTTTGGTGTGAAGGAAAGAAACCGAAAAACATTTACTCTATTAAAAGATAAAAAAAAAGCTTTTTTTTTTTTCCCCTAGAGTACCGAACAAAGTAGATTAACATTTTAAGTGGTCATGTTCAGACTCTTCCTCAGTATTATCTAGCTTAAGTGATAAACCCCTGACATTACAATATCAGATTTTTTTACAAATTTAAGAAACAGTTGTCCTGCTCTGACATCTAAACAGAAACAGCATGTAGTAGTGAATCCAGTCAAGTTCACTCTGCAATTAGTAAAAAAAAGAAAAAAAAAAAATAAAATAAAAAATTAGACATTAAGCTTTTATTATTTTTATTATGCTTAATTTACCTGAAAAAAGCTTTAGTCTCTTTTAGCAGAGTACCTCTAGGTTCATCTCCTTTGTTTGCGAGACCAGTAGATGGACCAAGGAGAACTAAGACTTTGAAGATTAGAGACAGACTGAGGTACCCGAGGCCAGAAGGGGTTTTTAAAACCAGTGTACACTGGGTTAAATGGCATTGGAAAAACTGGATACTGTTGAATTTGGGGGGCAGCTGTGGTGGGTGGTGGAGGTGGTTGGAATGGTGCAAATTCATAAGGAGGCAGCATTGGGTTAGAGTACCAGGATTCTTCAGACTCGGGGTACCAGTGCCGATGATGGTGTCGATGATGGTGCCTTCGTCGGTGAGGGAAACCTCCATAGTAATAAGGGTAATACATTGGAAATGGATTGTAAGCAGGGGCTTTAACTGGAGCAGGAGTTGTGGGTGGTGCAGCAGGAGCAGCCTGGTTCCAGTCAGGATACCACCAGGGGTATCCAAACTGAAAAAATGGATAACCTTGCGGAAATTGTGTGGGAGGAGCAGTCGGTGTCGATTCTGTTGCCTTCGGGCAGGAAAGAACCACTTCTCTGTCTCCCAACAGCAAAGGCAAGTTCCAGTCTGTGTCCTGAGGATGAGGTACAAATCAACTGCACAGAACTTCAGTTAAAATTCAACTAGAATTTTACTGCCCACACTTACCTGACTATCCCAACAGCTTCCTGTAAAAGGTGCAGTCAACACCATTGAGCCACCAACATTATCCAGAGTGAATGAGCACATGGAGGATGTCAGAGACAGAGGCATCCATGATCCAGAAACTAAAGCAGAACAAGTTAAAGGGGTAAATAAACCAAACTTTCAAAGAAACCAAATGAAAGCAGCTTACCTTTAACAAGAACATCATCTGCTCTGACACCAAATGAGACGATCATACCAGAGGAGGTGCAAGACACCACAGGAAGGCGAGGACTCACAGGGCAGGACATTTGCACTGGAGCCCCCATTATAATGAGCGGCAGAACATAACTACCACCCTATTAGAGGTGGATGAGGTTATTCAAGGTTTTTTGATAGAAGCAGAACCTGTCAGATTTAATATTCACACTAACCTGTTGTCTGACGTTACAACCAGTGTATGGAGCAACAAGAGAAACATCCCTGCGAACGCGCTTCAGTGAGAACCCACAGCTGGCTGGCATCTCAGACAAAGACACTGGTGAACCCTCTCCTGATGCAGGGGAATTAAAGAATTTAGATTGAGGGGTGGAAACAAACATACACAATCCCATTCACACAACTTGCCTCTCTCAACCAGAAAGTGTGGTGTTCTGTGTCCTTTAATATTTAAGGTCATTGAATCATTTCCACACTGTAGAGAAGGACCCAGTCGTTGCAGTTTAGCTCTTGCCAGCCGGAACCGTTCTTAAAACACAAGTTTTGTTATTTATCATTTAAAACACAGTAGGTCCCCATTTTTAAAAATTTAAATCAAAGTTACCTTCTTCATTTGATTGTTCTGCTAACGCAAATCTGGACGCATCCCTTTTATCATCAGATGTGGCACTTTGACCACCAATTAAAAGTTTGCCAAAATGGATTGTGTCTCCAGAGACTACTCCTTTAGCACCAGTTTCAGAAAAAGCCTCTGGACCAGCAATTGAAGAACCGAATGACATCATGGCCATCATGAAAAGTAAAATACCCTTTGGCCAACACATAGTAAGTCTACTATAGTTATCCAGTAAAACCTAAAAACTGTTTTTCTTCACAATTTCTTTAAAGATTCTTAACTCTAAAAATTGTGATGGTTACTGAAACACATTGGACTTTTTGTAGTCACTTTTGACACTAATAGACCAATCACATTTGTTCATTAATCAGCTTGTTGTTTTCACCTGTGCCTCGTTCACCGCAGAGTTAAAGCTTCGGTCACACTTGAATTTTCTCCCAATAGTCTTCCATTCATATGCATGCGAATGCGTCAGACTGGAAACGCAGTGTCATGTGTCAAGTTTTGCAGGTCGTTGCAGTGCAAAGTTTACGCTTGGTGATCTCTAACCTGCAAAATCTCATTACTTGATTGCGTGAGACCAATTGAGGATCAAAACATGACCTCTCTAGGCAGAAATTTAAAACACTGAGCAATCGCTCGCTTTTTTTAATGTCTTTTAATCTTGTTTAATCTCGCCCCTTTTCGCAGCACCGTACGACAGAATTCACACACACAAACTCTAGTGTGACCACAGCTTTATGCAAGGGCTGAATTTAGAATAGCACATTCTGCTGGCGACGACAAAATGTGTAGAGCTGCGGTCACACTAGTGTTTGTGTGTGCAATATTCTGTCTGGCTGGATTAAACGAGATGATTAGACATTAAAAAAGCGAGCAATTTGATCCATGTTATAAATTTCTGTCCAGAGAGGTAATGTTTTGATCTTCGCTTGATGTCACGTAGTCAAGTTATGCGATTTTGCAGGTCAGAGTTCACCAAGCTTGAACTTTGCACCGCAGCAACCTGAGAAACATGACCTTGCGTTTCCAGTCTCGCGCATTTGCGTGCGTATGAATAGAAGTCTATAGGGAGAAAAGTCAAGTGCGACCGCAGCTTAATAAAGTAATTAGACATCAGCTTACTCAAAGAACAAGTTATATCTTTTTAATAGAGTGTGCAAATCAGGAAAACTTCCTCCCTTTTAGAAGCATCATGACAGAATTTAACCAGTTGTAAAGCCAGTAAAAGATCCTTCAAAACTTAGACCAAATGCATTAACATCTAACCTCTGTTGCCTAATGTAAAGGATGAAAAGGATGTTAAGAGTTTATTTTATTTGAGGCGACTGCACTCCCTACTGTGCTTATGTGACAATAATAGTAACTGACAGCTGGTTTGATAGATTAACAACTAATTGTAACGATTCAGTCAGTTTTTATTTTTCATTTACATAAGCTCCGCCACCCATTTTCACAGTCTGGTTTCTACTGTACAATGAATAGTTTTCTATTGAAAGAAATTAATCTGGTATATCAGAGGTTAGGCATGATTCAGATATTACCATAACATGAGCTTTAGTTTAAGCAATTAGGATTTAAAATTCATCCAGTTTGGAAACAAGGCTCCTCAAATTTAAATGACAAATTTTGAAACCTTTAAATTTACAAAGCTGACTCAGTGTGGCAGGATTTTTCGTTAAAGTTTTTGATTTTTTTATGAACTTTCACAT